CAATTCTGCTAACTTACTAGCTGTTATTCATGACTCAAGGCAAATTGCAAAAATCTAAAAGTTTCTTAATTGAGAACAATCCTTTGTTTCTTTAATATTTGTTGTTGCTGTGAATAATAACCTTTCGTGAAAGATGTTGCCTAACAAGAAGATTTTATGTAATGTCTGATTTACAGACGACACAAAACTACCATTGAAATTCGAGAATTAAAATTTACAGGTGCAGTAATTTCAATTACACATGCAGTCGGCAATTTTGTTTATCTTTTTAAACTTTTTGATTTATTTTGTTTTATTTCAGAAATCATAATTTGTATACAATGTTTAGTAGAAAATTTAATAAATCCGTGCAAACTTAGTAACTTTTTAACAGGTAAATTTCGTGAAGACACAATGCGTTTTCTCGCACAAACGTGGTATTTTTTCGCGCGAATGTAAAACAAATTCGTGCAAACGTAACGTGCCGATTGAATGAAGGCTGTAATGGAACTGGTGTTATTTGTGTCTTTTGGTTGTTGTCTTTAGTAACACATACATCGCATCTCTTTTTATACATGATACATAAAAGATTTGTTCTAATTCTTTTTAGATGATTTTCAATCATATCTTTTTTCTCCTTTTTATTTTTATTTGTATTCATTATTTTAATAAATTATAATTATTCTCATTTTGGCTGTGGTCAGTTATTTATTTCACGGAACAGTTTCATACGTGAAATATCTCTACAGGCTAGAGCTAGGAAAATTCTGAAAGTGATACATTTGCAAATTACAAAAAAAAACAAAACAAAAACAAAACAAAAACAAATATATATAAAAGAGACGCCTACAGACAATTAACACAATCAACAGGTGAATAAATTCAGTGTTAACAAAACAAAAAACAAATAACAAAAGGCAAGAAAGAATTCATTTCTATATAAGTAAGAGAATCATTGACAAATTACAAAACAATAAAAACAAAAAAACAAAAACAAAAGTGACATTGGTTATACAGGCATCTTCTCAATATTAATACGTTATAGATAGAATGCAATTAGCCGTGCAAAACGTCATCATTAATGTTACGATTAGTTCACGCTAACAACATAAGGTGATTACGGCAAACAAAAAGGAATTCAAAACTCATGTTCTAAAACGAAAAACATTTCCTGTTAGAAAGTAATATACCCTCCCCCCCCAAAAAAAAGCAACAAAAAACCATTTCAAACTTGTACTATTAGAACCAAAAAGATATAGAACGTCAATCGCATTATACATATTTATCAAAGGGTGATTTTACTTCTTACATATAACATTAATAAATATGTATAATGCGAATGACGTTTTTTAGTACTTAGTTAGTTTAGAAGTACTACGATAAGTTAAACCTATGAGTCACCGTACTGTTTTCAACAATGAGCAAAACCCATACTGCATAGTAAGCATCCCTATAATAGAGTGTATATTTTAATTTGTTTTGATAGATTATTGTTCTCACATGAAGAAAAATGATTTAAAAAGATGATACCATTAATGAATGATATTAACAACTATGAATGCATGTCACACGCTTCCCTGGCGGGAGACACAATAAGCACATCTTTCCTGTGTCTTGTTTTTTTTTTTATCAATTTCCATTGACCTGCACGAATTTTTTGTTTCCTGTTTGTCACCTTGTTATTACGTTCAAAATCCCATAACCCAATCTTTGGAAAATTGACAATTTCTTAAATCTTGACACGTCCATACACTTAAACACAAGTTATTGTCTGAAAACTAGAAAAAAAAGCTTGTTTTATACCCTTTTTGGCCCCTAATTCCTGAACGGTTGGGCAATTACCCCCAAAATTAATCCCAATCTTCAACTTGTAGTATTGAACCTTGTGGTACAAGTTCAGAGCAATCAAACTACTTATACACAAGTTATTGTCCTGAAACTAGAAAAATGCTTGTTTTGGGCCCCTAATTCCTAAACGGTTGGAACCATTATCCCCAAAAACAACCCCAACCTTCTTTTTGTGGTATTAAATCTTTTGGATAATTTCATAGAGATCCGTACACTTAAACTAAAGTTATTGTCCGGAAACCAAATGTCTTCGAACGACGACGAAGACGACGTGATAGCAATATACGACCGCAAAAATCGTATAAAAAGTATGGAAATATCTTCCACAACTCTACAAAGTTTCAAGAAAATCATTAAAATAGAGTAACAAGAATTCCGATGAGTTCCGAACATAACAAACACCTAAACAATATATTATGAATCACTTGGTTACAATAAAAAAGGGTGTAATATTATAACCAAGAAAAATATCCTGAACAACTGAACAAAATAAAACATAGTAATCTAATACGAAATACAAAGTTTCAAAAAATTCCTTCAAGTAATATGGGAGGATATTACAGCACACACAACTATAGAAATATAAAAAAAAACCCATCAGTCCCAAAGAGTCTATCATAGAATTTATGCAAACTGGAATTCCTGACAATATGCACATGTTGACTTTGTGATGCAACACTTTCAAAGTAACAGCAAAAAATGATTTTCAACAACTTGACAAACATGAACTAAATTTAGCTACCTGTAATTTACCTATCTTTTTTTTTATTAATATGTTTGTTTTGATGAACATTCACTTTTGTTGTGATAACTACTTTCATCTATTCCTCGAACGCCAACATAATTTTACAGCTAAATTGTCGGTAGATCAAAGGATGTTGGCATTCAAGGAATAAACCGTCCAAAAAGGGGGGTTCCAACCCCAGGACACCCCCCCCCCCCACCCCAGATGGCCCCCAAAAAAGGAGGGTTCCTAAATTATGCAATCTGTATTTTTGTATGTTAAGCGTGTTCGGTCGTCGGGTTTCTAATCCAGACACACTTATCCATCAGTATGTTCGAATATGAATGTTTGTATAATGTTGAGAAGAGGGGACTTTTTTTGTCAAAACCATAGCATGTAAAATACATTTATGATTATCTTCATTAAACTGATAAATGTAAGTACTTTGGGTTATAAATATTGCGTCTTCTTCTCTTCAGTCTCTTCTGCCAAATCCAAAGCCTGACTCAAAATGTCGTCCGTCTTATACCTGTCCATATTCACAACTGCATACAAGGAGCATGATGTATTTTTGTTTGTAATAAGAATGCACGATACGGTCAACCTTGACCTACTGGTCCATATTATCACATGCATTTAACGGGCAAATACAAATCGGCAACTTTGACAAATATAGGGTTTAGTATCGGGTGTAAGTTAGTTATATACTTCGGGATACAGCGTGTCTGCGGCCGTCGGGGTTTCTTATCCAGACACACATATCCCTCAGTGTATAACTATTACAGAACAGACCAGCACGACATAACATGAAGTCAATGTTCAGATTTTAAGCTTGTTTATGTTAATCTAGTTTTAATTATCTTTCGGTCACGACCTTGTATGTTCACAATATGCACGTCCACATGATTACATATCATATCGTATCTGTTATAGAGCACAAATTTACCTATTCTTATAAGTAGTTAAATATACTAAACAAAGTACACATTAATTTTTATACTTTGTTTATTTCAATGAATCCAACACAGACTATAAAAATTTTGAACAGTTGTTATCACCGAAACAGGACCAAAAGATGGTAAACAGCTGCTAACATAAAAAAAACCAACACATAATTGTATTCCCCTCTTAAGCACATTAAATGTTGAATGAGTCAAACAAAAATCACCTCAAAAGGCTACTAATCTCTACTGCTTTCATTTTTCCAGTCCCTTCATGATAGGTTTCTATATAAGATATTTAAAATATTTGTTCATATTTATAAACGATAAAGTTTGGAGGGCGGAATGTGACAAGATTAGTTTAAATATTCTTTGAAAGTAAAATGTCAATGTTTTTTGCTTGGCAGTTTCAAGTGGCGAATGAGAAATTTTTAAAAAGCGGGAGGAGTGCCCTCTGAAGATGTTTGCTGGTAAGAGGGGCGACAGTCAAAAATGAAAAATGAATTATAAAATAATGGAATTGGGACGTATAAGGGGAATACCTTGAAATCTCTTTCCTTTTTTATTCTTTTGTGTAGTACATTTGAAGCTCAATTTGTTGTTGCATGAGAAACATTGAAACAGTTTTTGGTGGGGTTCGTGTTGCTCAGTCTTTATTTTTCTATGTTGTGTTAATGTACTGTCGTTTGTCTTTCGGTCTTTGTTTTTTTTTTTTGCCATGGCGTTTCCAGTTTATTTTCGACTTATGAGTTTGAATGTTCCTTTGGTGTCTTTTGCATCTGTTATGTGATATGTGCGGATATTTTAATTCTAGATGCGAAGCAAACACCATGTAGCTAAAATGTTTTGTTTTTACTTCTTTTCTTTCAGTTATTATTATTCTAAATAACCAACAACCAAAAGTCTTATGATATCTAAACTAACCACAATATTTATCATATATACATTGTAGTGTATCTGCTTTCTTCATTTATTATTTTAAACTACTTTTTATCATTATTCATTTCATGAAGTGCACATGCCATTTGGACTCTTTCTTTAACGAAATTTTAACACTGTATATAATCGTTGTTTTGTACAATACTTATTTGTATTGTTCGGAATAAAAAATACAAATTCCAATTCATCAATACAAATATAAATCTACATGTAATATAAATAAAACAGAACGTAAAGTACTTATTATTTTCCTTTGACAGTGTAAAATATTGAGTCAAACATGCGGGTCTGCACGTGGATTGGGGTCGTTTATTTCTATTTTCTTTATTTTTTTAGACCAGTTTTCACTTTTCTTTATTATATATTTCAGCTCCCCAATATTCTCTATTATTTATTTTTTTTTGTCTATTTTTCCTATACTTTATCTTTTTGTTCTTAATTCTGTGCCCATTTTATCAATTATTCTCTATTCTGTAAACCAAAACCCACATCCAGACCCTCAAACATGCAATTATATAAAGACGTCTATATCAGTAAGAACGGATGTACTTAAAAATATATTTCTTAAATCAAGGACATAATTGATGAAGCTCAATCGGTACGTTTTTCCTGTTTAATCACCATTATCGATTGGCGTAGATTGCAATCCTTTAAAGGTTATCCATGACCTCATTGTGACAACGGCTAAAAATAGATTGGGGTATACTGACGTATGCATGGTATATAAAGGTAAACATACGACAGCTGTCGACACATTTATTGACAGTCAAAATGAACAAGCGGGATATTATGTTCGACACAGAACAGAAAGATTTCGATTTGGAGAAAGTTTTGGAATTATTGAAGAAATGCAAACTAGATGATGATACTATTTTATTGGAATATTACATAAAAGCTTACAGAGAACTATGCAGGTAAATAAAATCACGTGTTCCTACACTGTGTTTTACATAAACACGAAGATTATGTATTAGATACAATACAAAGGTAACAAAGAAACAGGCCGGTAACAACCGTTGCCGGATAGTTTTTCTGCACGAGTAGTCAGGTCAAGGTACGAGGCGATAGCCGAGGACCTTGACCTGACTACAAGTGCAGAAAAACTATACGGCAGGTTGTTTCCGGCCTGTTTTTTGTTACCTTTGTTTTGTATCTGACTTGTACGACGTTTCAAGAAAGAAGTAGTACATTTTGCATTTGGAAGAGGTAGCAAAAATAAACATATAAGGAACTTAAATGATCATATACAAGTTTATGTAAGTTACAGTTTAAACACATTTTTTTTCACTTCCCTTCAGCCGAGAGTTTTTTTCACAAAAAAATCAAGAATCTAATAACTTTATGAAAAGAACCATTTCAAGTAAAAGGTGAATGTTGTACACATTTGAGACTTTTTAAAATGCAACTTCGCAAGTAAGTAATGTATAAAAAGGATTTCAGAGGTAAGCAAGCTACTATCTGATTTTTATTGGGGAAAAACCGAAAAGGAGGGGGGGGGGGGGGGGTAAATAAATTTAAGATAAACATTCTTGATCCTTTTTTGGTTGAAAAAATGCAGGATGTGCCATTCCATACCCCCATCCCCCCTTAAAAAAATCGTAAAAATCGTACGTTTGCCGCCAAATAAACGAATTCAATATATATATGAATTCAATAAAAATATAAATGTATCAAAATAATGAATTTACTATTTCATTAGTGAATGAAATGATATGGAAAAAAGGATTTTGTCTTTTTATTAGATATATATAGGCATATATTTTGGATTTTTTTTCTAAGTTCAGGTTTTTATATGTCTCTGATAGTGTTGACCACGATTAAACACGTGTCACTATATGCTCCAATCGCAGCTTACCGTCCAAAATTGATGACATAAGTTGAATGATTTTCTTCAAGATTTGCTGCATATTTGAACATGTATTATGTTACACGGACACTTTTTATCTATAGGATCAATCGTCCATTGGTGAGTTGATAGGGATTTTACCTTTTGGTTAGATTTGATTTTTATATATATATATTTCCTGTCTTTTTTATTGATATATAAACGTCGGTACCAGCTTTTCTTTACCTTCAGCATTGTTCAGAATACTATTCATGTCCATATATTGAAAAAAATACATTTACGGACCGACCATTTAGCTTCAAAAGGGGGTTATGTTCTTTTCTTAGTAAGAAAATTAATATTTAGTTTTTTCAACGCTATCACACAATTTTTTTTTTTTCGAAATTAGCACTATTATATACGGTATTCGAAAAATCAGGAATCAGAACATTATTTTGTCATCTGCTTGACCACATAATGTTTTTTTCTCATAAAATTGGGGATCAAAATATTTTTTAGGAAAAAAACATAACCCCTCTTTTAAAGTTAAAGGTCAATCCCTTAGTGTACTGATATGAATAGTCATTTACTGGAATTAATTGGAAAAAAATATTTATTGATGCTAAAGTAAATATTTTAATCAAAAAGACGGTAATTATTTCGGTGAAACAAAAAGTTCAAATCTAATTGAAATTTAAAGTGCCCATGAACTCACTGATCATGCACGGGCGATTCTATTCATAAAAAGAGTCCGGTAACAACTAAAAAGTGTCCGTGTATCATTTAAAAAGAGTCCGTGTAACACCCGTTAAAGTACTGTTTTTCTATAGCTCTGCTGGGGGCAAAGTCGTACAAATATAGTGTAGTATCTTAAAATACCTGTATTTAGAAATTAAATTAAAATCGATAAGTCATTATATTTGTTTAGACATTAAGGTTGAAATAACATGTGTATTTTAATATAATATTGACATCATTAAAAAAATATTTCGAAACAAGAAATTTTCAGTTGACAAATGAAAGTATCTTGCATGTACCTTCTAGTATAATAATGTTAGCTATACTCTTGATGCTCGAGCCTTGAAAATAAGGAGATGTGTTGTGATTGCCAATGCGACATATAACCTCAAAAGACCGAAAGGCAACTAAGTAACTGGTAACTGTGTGGCCTTTAACAATAAACAGAACGTATGTAATACAGTAACTTAAAAGAGCATGTGAAACAGTAAAAAAAAAACGAAATTCGCTAGTATTAAATATAAACGGTTATAACTGACAGCAACACACAACTATACCTTGAGTACAGGCTACTGGGAACAGACACGCAGAGAATAGGACAGTTTTTGACATTTTGTTTCCCCTAGACAGTCCTATAAGTACGACCATATGCTTCTAGCGTTCACTTCCAGAATTTTGCCTCCTACTTTTGAATGCTTAACCACGATTTTCACATTTCGAACAACCAAAAATTAAAAAGCAGAAAAGTGCAAATAAAGTGCGATGTCAAAAGTTATAGGACTAAACACCCCTTTAACATAGGACAATTGTTCAACAATTTTTTTTTTACAGTTTATTTTTCATCCTTTCATAATGTTTCTATGCGAGTTAAAATAATTCAAAACTATTTTTTGAGATCGACTGTTTTATAAGTCAATTATAATAGAGATAATCCCTTGTTGTCGATAAGTATATTGTATTTAAGAGATTAAAGAAAAAATAGAATTTAATCCATTGTTTTTGAAGTTTTTGTAGTAAAAACTAAAGAAAAAAAAAACATCCTATTTAACCGGAACTGATCATGGTCCTCATTGGTAAATTGATCTACATTGTACATGATTGTGTCTACATCAATGTGCGTCACAAGTTCTAATGACCTATTACTAATCATGATACTTTATTCACTCAATGGGTACATGTAGATTAGTTCAATTAACTTGAATGACAAAGTAAATAATCTATTTCACTCTATATGATACAGCTGTAATGATAAATTGTGATGATATTAAATGAACTCATCATAAATACCAGGATTAAATTTTGTGCGCCAGACACGCGTTTCGTCTTCAAAAGACTATCACCAGTGACTTTCAAATAAGGAAAAAAAGCTAAAGGGCCAAATAAAGATAAGGGACTGAAACAAAATAAAACAAGACATAATGTGATTTCTTTTTCATCAGTTAATCCGGAAAACACTTCGGACTAACCAAATTTTATGAAACATGTGACTACCTTTCTAGCCAGATGTGGATCGAGGATTTTTTAAAAGGGGGCACAAATTCAACTAAACAACGTTTGGTGTGGAACATGTAAAAGGTTTATCCATAAACCATACAAAGACCTCCCCCTTGAATCAGTATTGATGACTTGCTAGCAGTAGATCGATACTGCTGCTGACGGACTGTAAAATGGTATCATCCACTCTGTATAGTCAATTCTTCGATACTGATTTATAACTTATCTTTCCTGTTTGTATCTTCCGCCTCTCTTACGTAAATCATCCGTTAATAAATAAATTAAAAGAATTAAATCAATAACTTAATTGCAAAAAGTAAAACCTGAAATATTACATGCATTACATAAGAATAGAATGAGAATGGAAACGGGGAACGAGTTAAAGAGACAACAACCCAACCACAGAGTAGAAAACAACCAAAGCATTCTTTGGGTCTTCAACGCAGCGAGAATATCCGGCACCCGGTGTATTTATAAGAAACATGATGAATAAAGAAACAAAATTTATAAAGTTTTTTTTTAATCTTTGCTTTTCATGCTTTTCTTGAATTTCATGGACTATCGTCTAGATATAATACGGTGGCGAAATATAAAGAATAGAGAATAAGTGAAACATTGAATAAAGGATAGAGAAAAATAGTTTGAAAATTAAATAAAAAAGGAATGAAGGACGATCCAGATCCTCGTGTAATTCATTTTTGTTTTTTGTTTGTTTGTGTTGTACGTTTCCCTAAACATATCAAATTATAACTGATGTATACAAACATGAAATTTGAAAAAAAAACTAATATCTATTCCTTTGTTCCCCAGATTTTTTCGACTTCAAGGAAGATTATTCGGCTTTGTGGCAAAAGATTTAGAAGAAAAGATAGGTATTCTCGAAACATGGCGACGTTGTGATACTTGTGACAATTACAGATCCGTTCAGTCAATGATCAACTACGAAGTCGAGTATGGACTAACGACCTTCAGAGGTCGTGTGCCGTCAGGTTCAAGGACATTACTTAGATTACAAAGAGCGTTGGAATTTATATTAAGATTTATAGACGAAATGAGTATGAGTGAGGACGAAGATAAAAGTTCACATATTGCTCACACAGTATACAAAAGAACACTAGCCAATCATCATCCGTGGATCGTTCAAAAAATGGCGGGATTTGTCACGTTCATGTTGCCGAGCAGAAAAGAACTTATAGAAACCATGTGTAAACAAAACTATGACCAAGTACTAATATTAATGCACGAAGTGACTCAGGAAGGAAATCCAATATATGACATTACACAAAGTTTATATAAAAAACACAATTTATTAAACCTGAAATAAATATGCATATGTGTAATTTCTATATGTTTGTTTTTTCTTGGATAAAAGAATTCCTATTATAGCTACATGATTCGAGTAAGTACCATCACATAAAGTGGTATGATTGCCAATCCGAACCTATCCTCCAGAGAACAGATGAAAATATTAGAGTTATCGCCCTTATTACATCTCTGTGAAAATATTTTCATTCAAACTTATAAGACAATGTAATGTGAAATTAAATTTAAAAATTTAAATGTCTACCCGAATAATGCTGATGAGAACTATGTACAATGCTAAACATAATAACTTAGTTGCAAAAAGTAAAACCCTGACGGGTTAAATTGCAAACATATTAGAGGGTGGTAAAGGGTTATTTTCGTGCAACGTGTTTTGCCATTTTTATTTCACGTGCAGCCACGAAAAAGGTTCGTTATTAACCGTGTTTCGTGAAATCGGTAAAAAGATCAACGTGCAAGAAATTTTTAATTGTTCGTTCATCGTGAAATTGCAATTTTATTTCGCGTTCTTCCGTGCAGACACACCCCCCTTTACGCCCCTCATATTAGTAAACGTATTTACACTCACTTTACACAGTAAACACTATACCAAGAAACGGACAAATGATACAGACAATATATTACGAAATATGAAAATAAGAAGATATGATATGTTTGTCAATGATACAACTATCCACCAGACCAAACGATGTTGTTCACACTCAACTTTAAAAGGTTATCATACGGCCTTCAACACTGATCAAAACCCATTCCGCACAGCAAGATATAAAAGGGCCGACACAATGAAATTTAAAACGGTACTACTTTCAAACAAGAAAACTAATAGCCTGATTTATTATAAAAACAATATTAATGAAATAGTGAATAGTATTAGTTTATATATTTCAATATTTCAATATGACATTTTCAATTATTCCAACATTGTTACCACATAGTTTATATAGTAATTTAATCTTTTTTTATGTATATTGTTACATATTTTGTATAATTTGTGCATTTTAGTTGACATATTTAAATTCGTTTTTTTCAAATTTGGTTTAAAAATTTTTTTTAAAAGGTTGCTACATTTAAAAAAAGCATTTTTTCTATCCTTCCGAAGCACCTGATATCATCCCCGTTTTTTTGGTAAATTTCATGTTGCTCAATCTTTAATATTTTTGTATAGAGTTGTCTTTTCGTCGCTTTTCGTGTTTTGCCATATTGCTTTATTGGTTTCTCTATGACCTATGAATTTTGATTGTACCTTTGGTATCTGCTGTCTCCCCCCCCCCCCCCCCCCCCCTATATGAATTTTAATTAGATTGATGATTTTGAGATAATCCTCGATTTTCGTTGGGTGTATCATTCTGGACTGACTTCTTTAGTGTCTTTTATTTCTTTTTCTTCTTTTTTTTTATTTACATTGTCTTTCGTCGATCTGTTCTTCAACTTATGTTTTAATTGTTTATTTGATATCTTCTGATTCTTCTGTAAGACACACGTGAAACCGAAAGCATGTGATTTAGATTATTGGGTTAATTTTCGTAATCTATACATTACTGACGAAGGATCTTTTAGCAATTGCTCTATTACGAAAGAAATAAGTGAGATACTTTCCACAAGAGTAATTCATTAAATTTGCTTTTTTATGTTCATCGTGGATGTGGGGGGGAGGGGGGGGGGGGTAAATCTTTGTTACAATTAGGCCATTGGTGATTAGAAACTTCGCAGGTTTTTATTCGTGTCTTATAAATCTGCGCGACAAATATAAATAGAATCAATTACAAGTATTCGATTCTTCAAGTTTTGCGAAAACAATTTATCATAACACATTTGTAGTACATTCGTGTCTTACAACAAACAAATGGCGAACATCATATTTTACCATAATGTAGTTTTGGAGGATAATTCTAACTTAGCTCACTCACATATATATATCTTTTCCGCAAGTTTATTGTTTTCTGTTTGATATTAAATTAATATTTAAGATCTATTTTGTTACATCTGGTGATCATTTTATTTGGCAATCGCCAATGGCAGTCAGCAGGGTTTAAGAACATCCGTTGTTCGACCTGCTAGTCAAATGCGTTTTGTTGAAATATACTTTGTCACTTTTTTGGTCTTTTGGAAAATGTTGTTTGTGCTGTATTTAGACCCCTTTACCAAGAAATTTGTTTTGCATGCACACGTATAAAAATTGCGGTTTTATCCAACGCAATATTAGGTTTGAACGTTGTTTTCAATTTAGACTTGTATATATATATATTTACATATACAAATTTGGTGTACAAATTTTTGCACCTCATGTTTGCGGTATACCATCTTCTCCGCAAGTTCATTATTATCTGTTTGTTTTTAAATTAATAATTAAGATCCATGTTTCATATCGTGATCAATTTATTTGGCAATCGTCAATGGCAGTCAGCAGGGTTTAAGAACATCAGTTGTTCGACCTGTTAGTCAAATACGATTTGTTAAAATATACTTTTTACTTTTTTTGTCTTTTTGGAAAATGCTGTTTGTGCTGTATGTAGACCCCTCTACCAAGATATTTGTTTTACATGCACACGTATAAAAATTGCGGTTTTTTCCAACGTAATCATAGGTCTGAACGTTGTTTTCAATTTAGACTTGTTTATATATATTTACATATATAAAGATTGTTTCCGATTATATTTAGTTGTCACTCACTATTAACATTTTTATGCCCCCGCCGTAGCGGAGGGAGTATTAAGTTTTATCCTTGTCCGCCTGTACGTACGTCCGTACGTACGTCCGTACGTACGTCCCAAAATTGGTTTCCGTTCTCTAACTTTAGTTTGCCTAAACCAAATGTTATGACACTTATTCATCATGCTCAGTACCACAAAACACAGATCCAGTTTGATGTTTGGTGGCGTCACTTTTATCGTTCTAGAGTTATGCCCCTTTACAAATGGAAAAATTGCTGAATTTTTCGTTTCCGTTCTCTAACTTAAGTTTACATCAACCAAATGTTATGACACTTATACACAATGCTCAATACAACAAAACACAGATCCAGTTTGATGTTTGGTGGTGTCACTTTTATTGTTCTAGAGTTATGCCCCTTTACAAATGGAAAAATTGCTGAAATATTCGTTTCTGTTCTCTAACTTAAGTTAGCTTCAGCCAAATGTTATGAAACTTATGCACAATGCTAATTACCTCAAAACACAGATCAAGTTCGAATTTTTATGGTGTCACTTTTACCGTTCTAGAGTTATGCCCCTTTACAAATGGAAAAATTACTGAATTTTTCGTTTCCGTTCTCTAACTTAAGTTTACCTCAACTAAATGTTATGAAACGTATACACAATGCTTATTACCACAAAACTCAGATGAAGTACAACTTTGGGTAGCGTCACTTTTACAGTTCTTGAGTTTTGTCCCTTTATAACGTTATATGCAAGCGGGGCATCATCTGTGTCCCATGGACACATTCCCCATTTATTTTCAATTCTTATACAATGTTTATATAAACCGTAGTTATATTTTTTCAATAAAGTTTAATGTTCTCTTAAAAATGGAAAAACAGGAAGACAGAGTAACTATGTGTTAATGATATCTCCCGCCATGGAAGCGTCTGTCATAGATGTTAATATTATTCATTAAAGTGGTCATCTTTTTAAAGCATTTACCGTCGTGTGAGAATAAAAATCTATCACAACAAATAACACTCTATAATAAGGATGCTTACTATGCGGTATGGGTTTCGCTCATTGTTAAAGGCAGTACGGTGACCTATAGGTGTTAACTTCTACCCCATTTGGTCTCTGGTGGAGAATTCTCTAATTGGCGATCATAACACATCTTATTTTGATGTTAGTACTTTTAAACTATCTAAGTACTACAGGACGTAATTCACACTAAATAATATATGTATTAAAGTAATGTAAACATGATCACGTGTGTTTGTTTATAAATAATGCACAATAGGTTAAATGGTTAAATGTTTTTCATTGGTTGAGTTAGAACTGACCATGATATTTGAATAAGGTCAGTAATATTTCGTACTATAATAGTTTTGGTGGTTGTGTTGTTTTAAGGAATTTGCATTTGAGGTTCGCCTTCGGTGCTGCAAAGTTTTCCCACCATTCAACACGACAACATGTATTTGTCTTATGCTATGTTTTATTAAGAATGTGGGTATAAACTGAATTTCTAATTTTGATTCATAATTTGTATTTGCAAAATGAAAATTATTTTTATTCTTGTAGTTTTTTTTTTGTGTTTGTTACCTGCAGCGGCCGAGGCAGAAAGGTTATAGAGAACCCCGGGAAAGAATTCAAAATAGAAAACTAAAGATTTGATTTCAGCTGATATTATATATTTATGTCTGGGAGGCACACTTCAGTCCTTTTCCGATAGGAACGAGTAGCTGATACATCTAGTATTTTACCCTCTTCATATATAATTGTATTTTGCATAACAAAAACAAATATCCTATCATATGTTTTTTTGGTCACAAAATGTACCTGTAGCTATCATGAGTATGCCATCTCGTGTATTGATTGACACTATATTGACACTATATATCTGATACATGTATATATAATATATAACTGGTTTTAATCCTTATTTCGAGGATAAAGATTTTAATGACAAAATAAACGTAAAAAAATTAGGATAGGTGACCAATGGACTCTACGTTTTGGGTTGGTGGCAGACAAATACAGTATGTACACTAACGAGCTGGGACAATAATACCAAATGCAAAATTTTGAGCAAAGGTTTGGTGAAAAGGAGCACTTGAATTTATCGTACAATTAACATATACTAGACGAAACATTCGTTGGTCACTAAATTCTAAATTGAAAATACAAAAAAGGCAATAAAAAACACACATCGACGTTTACCCACAAGAATTCCATTCATCAACAAATATATGCCAGATCTCTTTGACGAACCCGAAGTTGAAAATTGAAATGTGATGCTTCTCCGTTTAGCACACACGATAATTAAAAGAGCAATAGTAATGTCTGATCGGCTTGTAATCAGAAGAATGTGTCCAGGAATGGGTT